ATCAGATATTCCTCAACCATCAAACCACCAAACATGAAGCAACAGAGTGTATTTACACTAAAAGACAAGTTGTAGAAGTAGCTCGACAGAAATAAACACCCCCCCCATCAAGCTACAGCGTGTCTCTCCGTCTGAGGGCGTGTGCTACAGCAGCAGCCTTCTTTAGGGCCTAAAGTTCTTGTGTGCTTTTAATGTTCAGTGAAATTTGGTCCGGTGTCACGAGCAGATTTGACTCCTCTCGCGGCCGGCGTTCACATTCCCACTCCGCTGTAAACATCTCATCACCCCGTGTTGCCGCTCCGCATGATTCTGGGCAACTTCTGTGTGCAAAGAGCAACCCTCGGCAAATCATCCAACACTTTACCCTTTGGAGCCCCCGTTGGCTTTAAGTGGCCAAACGCCATCCTATTTTATTCATGTTAAAGCACTTCTGGCCTTCTCACGGAGCAATAGTATAAGCCTCTCACCCCTTTTGCTCTCGCCGACTGTCAGCCGGATCACATTTCTCTCCTTCGTCCGAATGTTTTCCATTTAATTAAATTCTCTGAGCAACAGTCGTAACATCACAAGGCATCTTCTTCTGCGTCTCTGTCTGGCTACGGAGTCGGCAGTCGCGGGCGCGGGATGAAATGGGCGAAGACAGCTTCGCAGTCGCCGGGGGTGTTGTTCTAAGATCAGGCTGGAATCAGAAGTTTTGTCGGTTTCAGTTAACCGGGGCGCTGCTAAATGGCTTAAGCCAAGCATCAGTGCACCCGGCGGAGGCTGTGGGATATTGCTGCATGACAGCTAAAGTAGCCGGGTGCATCGCAGACATGTAGCCGGCCTAAAGAGCCCTCGGGGTTCGTCTTCTTCATGACTGATTTTTAAGTGTTTTGTCCCTGGGACACAGCGATAATGTGCATTAAGATCAAGAACGCTTATTTCAATTGTGCTTTTGTGTTTTTGCACCGGCCCCCAACATTTCTGCAGTGTCCGGGCGGTGCTCTCGCTCACGTGGCTTCAGGTGTGCAAACGTTGGTCCTCGCTAGCGTTTTGTTGCCAAGAAGGAATTTGTTGTTTTAAAATGAGTGAGAAAGCCACGGGATTTTTCCTGCTGTAAACATGTTAATAGTATGAATATACATTATAGAGAGGAATTTTCCATCGGGTCTGTTAATACAAAACGTAGTTGTGATGAAATGTATTCTTTTATTTTGCCATAAGAAGACCAAAACCAACAATAAATCTGTTGACACGATTGGACTTGCCCGTATTTTTGGTTTAAAGATGAAAATATTTTAAATGATATATATATGGGTAAATCATCTCCTTGATCATCTGACAAAACAACTTATAAAGCAGCTCAATGCAAAGAAATGTGGGTCCAGAGATTTTATTTTGGCTGTTTGTGTCCACTTCAGTTTTTCCTTCCTAAGGACACCACATGGAGTCAGTTTGGGACACTTGCTGTGCTGCGTCACTCCTCATGCAACATTTAGAGGCCTCACCCTGCATTCGGTTTAAGTCCATGCGGGTGAGAAGGGGGAAAGATGGGCCAGCTGATCGGTAAATACTCTTAAAATGACGATGCAGTAACAAGAAACCCACATGATCAAAGATCATTTCAAAGCCCCGGAAGAAACCCACAATATGAAAGTGTAACACAACACCTGGTAGGGTGACACAACATTCCTACGCTCTGACACAATGAATTTAACTCCAGGTAGAAAAGACTGCAATTATTATTCATACATTCATGTAAAGGCTCTAGTTATTTCCAAAAAACGCAACCTCAGACCTCATCAATCAACCCCAGAACTTCAGAATTCTACTCAACGTGGGATTTCAAATCCCTCAGAAACACATTTATTGATACTTGATACATTGGTATTGTCAAGAAAATAAACTAGATTTGTCCTGTTGCTAATGAAGCTTCACACCAAACCCGACCTGAGTCACATCTACTCAACCATCAGGCCTACAAAGAGCAGGCATCCCTGACTTTACCAACGTGATGGTCCCGTCTCCCCTTTAGTCTACCAGGCCCAAGCCCGAGACTCTCAGACTCCGTGTCCTCACAGACCTCCCCTCTGATCCCGCGGTGTGGGAGACCATCTGAGCGTTGCAGGAATGAATCAAAACAAACGAACACAATCAAACTCGAGGAGGAACCGTCAACAAACACCATTTCTTCACCCGAGGCTGGCGGGTCAGATTAAAGCCCGTGCGGCCTCTTTGCGGGGTGACCCCGTGACCGTCACGCCGAGGGAGGAACCCCAAAAGACACCAAACAGCACAACAAAGAAACTCCCCCGATGCTCGACGTACACAAGCACCGGCAGTCAGACGGCCTCTCGTTATCCAGGAAGTGACTCACAATCGAGCAGCTGTATTTTCCATCGTCGCGTTCCGCTGCGGTTGGAGATCCCGGCGCTATTAAAGCGGAATCACCTTAACCCAGTTGGACCGGCTCGCGTCACGGCCGAGGGCTTTTCCACAAGAACGTTTTGATGGGGGTTTTGTACACACTCGCGCTCGACCGGTCGCATTATCCTCGCTTGGCGTGTTTCCCCCTGAGTTTGTTCAGGGTGGGTAACAAAGAGGGTGGCTTATTATCACCCAGCGGAGGAGTTGTCTGCACACGTACCATTTGGTAACTGCTGGCGCTTTAACAAGCGGACTGAATTGGACGTGACATTGAGCCGTTATTAGGAAATGAAATGCTTTTTCGCGGCGATCGTGGGAGTTTTGAAGGGCCCGCGAGGGAGTTCAGTGACGTCCACAAAGGTGCAGACGTCGTTGTTCGAGCCTCTCGGTCAGCAGTGAAAGGGTCAGTGACAGCCTCCGTGCAATCTGGAGTGAAAAAACGAGTTATAGTTCTACACCAAACAAGTATCACGTCCTAAAAGAGCAAAATTAACGTTCACGTGCTCACTTTGTTGGCAGGTAACAGCATCCGCTCATTAAATATAAATCAAATGTCTTTCAGCTTGCTCTGAAAGAAGTGAAAGACGTATGGAACCTAAAGTTGTTTAAAGCCTGAAGCTGCTTTTACTGCTTTTTAGCTTTTACCGCCAAAGGCCCAATACGAAACCATCTGCATGAAATCAATTTACAGAACTGCTACAGAAAGTAATGCTGGATTTTTAAAAAACTTTTCTACTGGATATTCTCCACTCTGTCCCTCCATAAGTATTGACAAAAATGTAATAACTGTGCACCACATTCACACGGTGGACTGACTCTTGAGGAGGACATAAGCGTATTAAAGCTCCTGTGAGACCGGCCTCACTGGACTGAAGCGAGGCGCTACCTGCCTACTCGCCTGCACACTGATGCTCATCCAACCTGGCAGCTCGGGACGACTCTATGCTACTTTCTCAGCAAGTAATTGGTGCCCGAGCCAGCGACCCCACCTGACGTGGGCGACTCGGAGGGGGAACGGTCCCAGAGGAGCAAACCGGGTCAATCCTATACGGAGTTGTGTACGTTCTCCAAAAAAGCATGTGACAAGTAAGACCGGCCGTTCATCCGGAGAGAGAGAGAGAGAGAGAGAGAGAGAGAGAGAGAGAGGCTCAGGCCCGTTTGACACAGTGTTTTGGTTTAGACTTCGGGGGCCGTCACCGCCTTCGTCTTGCCGGGGAGGGATTGCGGAGGCATTTTTCCTTGAGGAGGCTAATTTGTGAAGCAATGGAGCGGCCTCTTCTAAGCTCACCGGTCGGGAACACTTACTGCACTGTTACGTTTCTCAGAGTGTCACAAAATCCACCTGTGAGATTGTGACAGAGCACCTGTCAAACATCTTCTGAAAATGGACGTAGATCTGATGGACCACTTTGTGCCAGATGTGTGCTGGCAGCTGTACACAGTTTATCAAATATTTATGGGATTTGTGAGTGCATTTTTTTTCCACCAATGCAAATGGCTCAAATCACGAGTGGACCCAGTTTGTTCCCATCATGTGATGTGGTCGAACGCATTGAATCATTATGTGCACAAAAAGAAGCTTTTTTAAATGATGTCCTGAGTCAGCAAACGTTCAGCGGATCCAACAAAATACAAATTGCTGATAAAACAGTAGAGATCAAGAGAGAAATCAGTCAGGAGAATTGTTTTTTTTCTCCAGCTTTACTGTGGTGACTCTCCATCGTGTCCTTTTGTCCTCAAGATCTTTAAAGATAATAACGAGAAATAAAATGCTAAACATTGGAGGGAAGAACGTTTTTTATGGAGTCAGATCCACATTTGCGCTCGTCCCTTTAAGCATCCCTGCATTATTTTTGCATCACAAATGAATGAATCGATCAATCGATTATAATAACAATCCCCGTTCAGCTTCAGAGAAGCTTGCTCTGTAGAATGAAACTGAGCGGCTCTAGAATGGAACCGTCTGTAGAATGAAACTGAGCGGCTCTAGAATGGAATGTCGTCACATGAAGAATCCTGGAACCATAAAGCTGAACACATTTCCTTTAACTACAGACCAACGTGAGTTAGTTGAGAGTTGAGAGTTAGTTAAAGATGAAGTACTTTTCTAAAACCAATCGTTGTGGAGTAATGCCGTCGTCTTATTCAGACAGCAGTTTGACAACAGACAAAACAGGTGAGGAAAAAAACAAAAAAAGGGCTCAGAAGTGTTTTTGTCACTACATTCTACATTTTGGTACTGTAAATAGGATGTTTCTATCTAAATGTTAGGCTACTTCACACGTTTACTCCGCTACAGTTCAGAGGAAATGTTTACACTCCTTTACATAAAGGTGGAAAACACTTTCCAGGCAAAGATTTTGAGAAAATAATGACTCAACAGCAGAGAATTCCATAATACCAAAGCAATACCTTTTACTTGTAGCCTACTACAGAAAAATATAACATTATATATATGTATGTGTATGCTGACTCCATCTTGGCAGATGTTCTGGATGAGAAAAAAACATCTGAGGGGCAAAATATCGAAATGCTGCACAGCGAAACAGGCAGTTACCGAATTGAGAAGATGATCGGTGAAGGGTCCTTCGGCAAAGTAGTCAAATGTGTAAATGTGAACACATCAAAGGAAGTGGCCGTGAAGGTCTTGAAAACACAGAACAGCGTAGTCAACACAAGAGAGGTCGGATTATTGCATTCTTTTTTTGACTATCTTCCTAACTTAGACAATAAAATCATAAAATCAGCTGCTGACACCATGTTGTGTGATTTTTCTCCTTTTCTCCACCGCAGATAAAAATGCTCAACACAGTGGCCGTTCTCGACCCAGCCAAGACCAACTTGCCCCTGTTCCTCGGGTGGTTTATACACACTGGAATAACCTGTCTCGTTTTCGAGATGCTGGACAGGAGTCTCCATCAACTGTTGTTGGAGAGGGAGGCCGAGCCACTGTCCCTGCACGAGATACGTCCGATTGCACAGCAGGTAGCGGCTAAGAGGCACTAGGCTCAGTTGGACCAAAAAGAAGTGAGATATCCAACGATGCGGCTCTTCTCCACGTGTGTCCACATTTCTTCCTTTGTCTCCGCAGCTGCTGACAGCCTTACACGCCCTGAAAAGCATCGGCGTGGTTCACTCGGACCTAAAGCCAGACAACATAATGCTGGCCAACCACGGCGAGGAGCCCTTCAGGGTGAAACTGATCGACTTCGGCGGGTCCTTCTCCACCTCCGAGGACGTACACGGGTGTCTGATCCAACCGCTGGGCTACAGGTGGGTTCTGCGGGGGTTCTGCCTCGCTGCAGCTTGTGTGTGTGTGTGTGTGTCGTCCGTCGGAGGTTGCATTCGGCGCTTAACAGATCCTGCGACTCTTGTACACAAAGGGCCCCAGAAGTCACCCTCGGCCTCCCCATCTCTGAGGCCATAGACGCATGGGGTCTCGGCTGCCTGCTTGTGTGGCTGCGCCGCGCCAGCCACCCGTTTTCCATACGCTGCGAGTACCAGTCCGTGAGTACCCCAATGTGTCTGGATCTAAACGCACAGACCTGATTTATACCACCTAAGGTCGCTTTGCCGTAGTATGTCGGCTGATTCTTTGCATCCCCTCTCCAGATGAAGGATATTGTTAGAATCATCGGCCAGCCTCCTGGTCACATGATCAAGGCCGGTTCCTACAGCAAAAAATACTTTCTGATGAACCAGCACTGGTTGCAGCCAGCAATGCGCCTGAAGGTATGTTAGGGGACTGATTCTCTGTTAAATAGTTAACACACTGACTTGTGTACTCCGTTCCTGCAGACTGAGAAGGAATACGAGCGGGACACCGGCATCAAGCCTTTAGTCTGCACGAGGTCTTTGGATAGACTGAATGACCTGATAACAGTGAGCGCTCCATTTCATGAGTAAAAGATAAATCACCAAGAGGGAGCCGCTGAACAGGATTCCTTTGTTTCAAATCCAGCTCGACGAGGAGATGCTGAGCATTGAGCTGGATGACCAGATAGAGTTTGTGAGATTCCTTAAATCCCTCCTCCAAACGGACCCTGTGAAGAGGATCACTCCCAGGGAGGCTCTCCGGCTGCCCTTCATCACGATGGCCCACCTGGAGGACGAGTTGGACACCAGCGAGTAGTAAGTTGCTGCGTCCGGTTAGCGGCGCGGTTGGATACAATAGAGTGAAAGTGACTCTGATGCCATGGACTCATTCAAACCATTCATTCTCCTGTTTTATCAAAGTGTGAAAGAGTCCTTCCGGAAAATGCTGGTCTGCCCAACCAAGGAGTCAGAAGAGGAACAACCTTCTGAAAACGAGACCTTAGCTGACAAGCCACCCGACAGGTGTCCACGACTTACAGCCGGGCTGAAGAGAATCCGGAAGTTCTTCGGCAGGGTTATGAGGGTTTGTTTGTGTTGCAAGAACAGTTAATTCTATGTCTTGGTTTGCAGAGTAACTTACAATGCAGCCTTTTTGAAATGATGTGAATGAATCTGTTCTGTACGGATGACACCATGACAGTTTGATCATCACAAAAATAACCTGTTCTAATAAAATAAAACTAGTGCTTCTAAAATAATGGCGTTCATTTCCATAATTTTTTCAACCAAGTTTTGTTCTTTTAGAGCCTTTTGACCATTGATTCATAATGCGTCAAAGGAAACAGCAGTTTCTGCACTACTAACACAGAATCAGTTTATTAACAGCGAGCCTGTAAGCTGCCCGACCTTTGTGGGTATTATGCAAGTATTATTTTGCTCAGTGAAGCATTTTCTCAAATCAAGTGCATCCTCAAAGACAACTTCATATTTATACAGATAAATATCTATGCCTGGCTCTTAATACTGCAATGTTAAAATGTTAATAGAGTTTGCAGTGATAAAGTATATCCGCATGTCTTTGTACATGCAGCGCTGCACCAGCGGGTGGTGCAACGTGCTTTAGAGTGGCTTTTGACCTTGACACCAGCAGTCATTTGGTTTCCTGCAAACTGTATCGCAAAAAGTATTTCCACCGTTGCACGTAAGATAAGCAGACGTGTGATTAATAGTGGCTGCATTGCATGTCTTCTGGTACAGGACATATATTTATTCTGAGCGTTGTGAAATGGTTGTATTGAGTGTTGCACGAAAGCCGCACTAAACACAGAATCCTTCAAATAACGTCAGAATTGTAAAATTGGTCGTATGAAAAAGGCTTTGGTGAAAGTTTTACAATAATGCGATGGACTTTGTATGAAATGCGCAAAAAGTTGTGTCCGAGTTGCCTTTTAATTTTCAACAATCACACTTGTGAGTAACCCTTAATTTCCCAAATGAGACAATTGCTCTTGCAGCTCGGTTTCTAATCATGGAAAATAACATTTTAAAGCAGGAGCCGTGTTGGTGTCACCTATTCAAACTAAACATGCAGAATCAAATTCTGAAACTAAAATCTCTGTACAGAAAAGGACGGATGAAGTCTTCGTATTACTGTAAAAGCCCCTAAAGGTCTTTCTATGAATTAAAGCACTTTCATATTGGTCTATTAACATAAAGTAATTATTTAAATTTGAACTACATTCAGATTCACTCCCTGTAATTCTAAGCTATCTAACTTCCCCGTCTCAAGGTAGCGTTTTCTCTGTTGTTTTGCACTTATTGAAGGTCAGTATCACCAATGCCGTTGGTGCAAAGTTCAGAAAAGACAACCGTTTCTAAACACGCGTTCATGGACAAAGACATTGTTGGTGCCACCTGACAGTATCTCCTCATGCGTTACTGCGACTTTGTGGAGCATTTTCCAGCTCTACTGTAGACGCAGGTCCCTCTGCTCGGCCAAGCGGGTTTTATGCCAAATCATGTGTTGGTGTTTAGTAATCCCCCCCCCCCCCCCCACCGAGAAGCCTGGTGATTTTCTATTCACCGACTGGTCAACGGGTCAACCAGTTCACGGAGCGGACGGATCTCTGGGATTGTGCAACGGTACGCCGCGACCGTTGCACAATCCCAGGCGATCATGTGTCCACTTGGTTTTGTTAAGGAGAAGGTGTTTTTTTTTGGTGCATGAGATTATTTTGGCTGAGCTTTTATTCCTACATTCTTAAAGTCTCGTCTCTATCAAGGTCCTGGAGCTTTGTTTTAGCCAAATAGACTCTCTCGCTCCTTGTGAAACAATTTAATGATTTTAACTCACCGTCCATTCATTTCTTACACTAAACATTTAGAGTTTTCAGTGGAAATTTCTAATTTCATAACAACTCCAATTATGTAATGTTTATTTGAAGTTATCATAAGGACATTTTTAATATTCCAATTGAATTATGCCTATGTTGTATATTCAAATGAGAATTAAGATGTGTAAACAGTACAGCAACAATTAAACAGTAACAAATCCTAAATAAATACTCTTTTTAACTATAAAATATCTGAGCCTTTTGTTAAGAGAGACAACTGCAAGAACTATTGTACTTTTTGTACAAATTGTACACTGTGTGGAAAGAAAAACTTTGGTCACGAGTTGATTAAAGCTGCCCCCTAGTGGCCACCTTGTTTCATTACCTACTAGAATTGTTATGATGTTGCCACACACGTGCCTTCCCAAAATGTCAAAGAAAGATTGAATGAGTGAGCTTATAGATTTATTTCCGCTGTGAAATTGTTATAAAAGTTCTTTACATACTTCTATTAACTAAGTATTGTTGTAGGTAAAAGGCTCAATGCTTTGACTCATTGCAACGTCAATAAAAAGCAATACATTCTACGCTGCTTTGTGGACGCTGGAGGAGTCGACGCCATCTTTCTTAGTAGTGCTTTAGCAGCCAGGTTGGCGCGGGGCCTCCCGGCACGACAAAGTAGTTCCACCACCAGGGCTTCTCCGCCCTTTCCTCGCGGTTCTGGCTCGAATCCGACATCAGGGCGTAGCGCTCGTACTGGTTGTACGGGTCGAAGCGGTCGTGGGTGCCCGTCAACGGGCCGTCCTCATCCTCCTCCGGCGGGTCGAGCTCCGGTGCGGCTCTCTGCAACACAAAGTCCACCCGGCCCGCCGCAGGCATGCGCCGGGGCAGGTGGACTTTCTTCATGCTTCTGGAGTAGCCGGGCGCCGAGGCGGTCACGATGTGGATGCCGGGGGTGAGGAGGCGCCAGTAGTCTCCGTCTTCAGCTGGGCAGGAAGGGAGAAGGAGGTTTGGACTCAAATACATGAACGGAGAAGTACATGAAGATTGAGTCCCATAACTATATGGAGTGAATACAGTAGGAGGCCGGAGGGTCCCTTAATAGAACAAGTTATGTTGGCCACAACAAGGACGATTTCAATTCGTTAGCGGCTGGTATTAATTACCTGTGGTGATGTCATGCCGTATTCCTCGGACCGATATTTGTGCACCTTTGACGGCGTTGCCCTCCTCATCTTTAACGATTCCTTTGATACCTAAATGGACCTGAGGAACAACGCGAGACGGGTGAGATTTTCTGGCCGATGCATCCGGCCGTTTCCCGCCCCGCTAATGTTCCCCGACCTTTGAACTCTGCTTCCTGTCATGCCGGTGCGCGTTTAGCGCCCTTTCAGTTTGCATCAGGTCGTCTGCCCAACGCCCGTGTGCTTTTTGAATATGTCGTTCAGATCGATCCGTCGGATCGGAGCGCATCACAGACAAACATCTCGATATCAGACCGAACAACGGAGCCGTTGTCATCTTCTTACCGCTTCCATGAATTCGATCAAAGCCTCGTGGTTTTCTTGCCAGCCGACATACAGTTCCTCTTCGGGAGGGAATTTATCACAGCCCAGCTCCACGGTCAACTCGAAGCAGTTGGTGTGGAGATAGTTGAAGTCTTGCATGCCTGAGGGAGAGACAAAAAAACAAAAACGGCTTTACCGGGACATCTGTGAGAATCCACCTCCTCGGGGGTTCCTCCTTGCCACTTTATATCACGGCTGGTCTTACAGCGCCCTCTGGTGGCTTCACCGGACAGCTTGCTTGTATCAGAAATCGCCACCAAGACACTTTTGCGACGTTCAACTCACCACCTGCAATGCTGGACCACTGCGCTCCATTAACAGTTCCCTTGGGGCTGTTCGTATGGGACGTCCCACACTGGGCATTTTCACTGGACATCGTCTCGTGTGCAGTTGCATATGTTCTCGCGAGAAGCTTGAACACCTGAGGGAACAAAATAAACTCCAGGGTCGATTGTCGTCTTTGGAAAGAGCCGCGATCGCTTTTCAGGGCCTGCGCCCACCTTGTCGTCCGGCGTCGGGGAGAACATGTTGCGCTCCTGCGGGTGTTTGGACAGGTCGTAGGGGTAGGACACCACCAGGTCCCCGGCGTGGAAGTTGGCGGAGAGCACGAAAGGGATGGAGCGGATCCATTTCATGACAGCATAAGTCTCTGGTGCGACCTGGATTGCGGCATTGAGACTTATTCGGACCAAGTCTCGAAGAAAACGGATTTAAAGCAGCGGGGCGGTTCCTCGGCAATGTCGCCCGTCACACAACGAGGCGTCGTTTGTGAGCTGTATGGATAAGGATTCATACCGTACCTTACCAAACCAGAAACGGTCTGGGATCGGGATGTGGTCGGTGCGGTGGCGCTTCTGTCTGCGTCGGCCGTAAGCGATCGAGGTCAAGTCCGGGAAGTTCCGGTTCAGGTCGATGTTCTGGGCGTTGCTGCGGCCGATGTTCCAAGATTCATATCTGGGACCCTGAGGACGTCAAACATCGGTGTTGAAGGAAATTGAAGGAAAGGGCCATTTGCAACTGGATTACCGCTGGAATGTTTATTTACAACTCATCAGGACAGATATCTTTAATAAAGATGTATTTATTATGTATGTTTATGTATGAGAACCAACCTGCTCCTCGTCGTCCCCGTAGTTGTTGTCCGGGAGTCCAGAAACCGCCGCCTCGTATCCGTCGGGGTTCATGGAGGGCAGAATGTGGATGCGGGTGGTGTTGACGAGGGTCTGGATGCGCTCGTTGCCCAGCTGATACTCTGAGCACATGTGCTGAGCCAAGTAGATCAGCAGCTGGCGGCCCAGGACCTCATTTCCGTGCATGTTGCCGATGTACTTAAACTCTGGCTCGACTGCGGAGGGTCACATTTTACAGAAGTGTATCCCCACGCACACACACACACACACACACACACACACAGAGCACAAGCTTCACTTACGCAGTTCATGTCGTCCGGGGTTGTTTGAGAACTCGATTACCAGCAGCTCCCTGCCCTCCGTGCTGCGGCCGATGCTGTAGGTTCTCGCCACGTCGGAGCACCGCTCCTCGATCTTCTTCAGGACGCCGACCATCTGAGCGTTGGTGTGGTAGGTGAACCGCATCGCCATGGCCGGGTCTTCCGCAGGAGCCGTTTCCATGCTGTCAAGGGCCTCTGCGTCCTCCTCGGCTGTGAAGACATCGCCGTGCTTTTAGATCTAAATAGTGACTGGCCCACATATTAGAGCCATCAAACTGCCCGGCTACATTCTTGCAAGGCTGCCAGGCTAAAAATAGATTGTTTGAAGAGTCCGCTACGCGGTGCAGAAACAAAAACGTCTGTCTGCCCTTATTTCTGGATTCACACAATGACATGTTTGCACGGCGTCAAGTGTCTCTCAAACAGACCTGTGCAAGTTTAAAAGACCCTTTTCCATTTAGAAAGAGTTTGAATGTGGAGGCAGCAGCCATACCGTTACTCATCTCTTTTTTTTCACTTATAAACCTCCAAGACTCACGTTGAAGGGATGAAATTTGATGATGTGAGGAAAAATGTATGTGTATGAATTTTGTAACACGCTGCAGAGAGACTTCAGTTTGCAGTGGAAGTGAATGTGGGAATAATTATCAAGTAACTGAACTAAACTCAACACGCCTGGAAAGGTTTTTCTGCACAATGAAAAGAGAGACATTTGTTAGGACAAGTTAAGCGGTTCATTGTATTGGTTAACTTTAAGAGTGTTACACATGCACACACTTTACTGTAATAGAATGTTAAAATATCATTTAATGCTGAACTAAGCTCGGCTGCTCTCACAAATAATGTCTGCTTTCAGTGGCAGAAGAGTTAAGAGAGAGTCGGTCTGTGGGGATTTAGGGCTCCGTTTGCACAGCTAGGCTGCTAATAAAAAACCAGGACAACTGCAACATTGCCCAGAGTAAGAGGAGGTTCAAGTGGGAGGCGTCTTGAGTTGGATTGTGCATGAGAATGTGTGCAAACCAGATGCCTGCTGCTTTGAAACTCAAAAGGACTACGCTTCCTCGGGTTTCTCCTGCAGATGAAGTCCAAAGGGGTAAAAAAAACTAAAATATTCGGTCTTAAGAAGCATACATTCAGGTGGCTTATGTTCACATGATGAGTTCCCACCTCTGAGGCCCTCCAGCGGGTCGTAACATCCCTCCTGCTCGCTGGCAAAGAAGCGGTCGCAGTCCAGGAAGTAGGGCCAGGCCATGTCGATCCCCTCGAAGGCGTGGCCGCACCTCTTACGCACCGCCTCGCAGGCGGCGCGGCAGGGCTTCAGCACCTTCTCCTTCTCGCACCGGGGCGCCAACACGGAGCAGCCCAGCATGCGGATGTCAGGGTTGCACACCCCCCCCAGCAGAGACTCGGCCACGCTCACGAGGAGGTACTCGGCGCCTGACTCGGCGTCCTCGCGGGTCTTGTGGCCGAGGATGTTGGGGAACATGGTCTGGGGGTAGGCCATGTCGTCGCAGTAGGACAGAAGCACGTCCGTGCATTTGGCTGAGCGAGGTGGGGACAAACCGGAGACATTAGGAGAAGGTGCCCAAACTCAATCTCCCTTTAGGGGAGTGTTCATCTGACACGCTTAATGATGAGCACTCCGTGTGCTGTCTTCAATCATCTGGCTCCAAATGTTTCTATTATCTCCGGAAATTAGAATATGAATATTTGACACCGTCATCAATCATCTAAAAATACACATGATGGACTCGTGGCTTTCGCGCCAGATTCCAGGCCCAGTGAGACGTGTGTTCTCAGCCTGTTTAGCTGTTAAGATAATGACTCACAGGGATGCAAGTGCAGAAACCTTCGACCCACCAGGACGATTAAGAGCCGGATCATTATGACCCGGGATGAAAAGGTGAGTTTAGGCCCAAACATCACAGAAAGCTCCAATTGGTGAAGATCAACCGCCCGGAGAGATGAGCGGCATGCTCGGAAGACATCCCCAACCCCCCTACCCAGAGCCCAGGGCCTACTTACGTTTGTCTTCCACTGTTGGCTTGCACTGCCCTGCAAGACACATCAGCATCGTGGTCATTTACACTGCGGCAGACACTAGATGGCAGAGTGGTCTCTGCAAATGCTTCAAGGTGGGCCACGAAGTTCTCTGCTGGATCCGTCTGCGGATCGGCCGCTCTTTAAAAGGCCTGTGCGTCTACAGACGTATCATCAAAGCGCCGAACGTTCAACAGATTTCACATGAATGTAACTCTTGATCCATGAAGGTGAAAAACAGCATTTTATCTGGAATATTAGAACCGCGTCATGCTGCAGGCCGACATCCAATCACTAACTTTTTGTGCCATTAAAGTGTCTTTAAAAAGCGTAAAAGGCGTTACTGCATAATAACGAGCTTCCGAAAGCTCAATCTGCACATTGTGTCCAATTCCTGCAGCGGCTTCCGGGATGCACGTATGATGATAATAAAAGTATCTCATCACGTAAAAGCTGCACAACTTTACCTCGAAATGCCGGGTCACACCGCGGAGGATCGCACGACACGAGCACCAACAACTGCAGGAGGATCAGCAGCATGACGATCGCTTATATTCCGTTCCGATGTGGCACCTCGCGCGCGCGCAGCCAGAGGTTGTGTGTGTCTCTGTGTGTGTGCGCGTGTGTGTGTGTGTGTGTGCGTGCGTCGGTTTCCCAAAATCTGCAGAAATGCCCCCCCTCCCCTTGACTTCCCTCACTTCATCACGCGTATTGCGCTTAACTATCAAGTTACATCAGGAAGTGGCTCTGGGGTGAAAGGAGGACGAACCGTTACGTGTGGATGTTGTTACGGCGCGCATGAAATTAGATTTATAATGTGTTTACAGAATCAATAAGAGAGTAAACGTCCCCTTCGACCAACCGTATTCATTGGACGTTGTCACCTCACGTCCTTCCCATAAACAAGAGTCACGTGACCTTATTCGAGCAATAACGGACACCATGTACCAAGAAAAAGGGGTTCTAATCAAACGTGCCTGAGGGTCAATACGTACTAAAAATGACCTTAGTAATATTAACACATGCGTTGCTCCCCTTTTCAAAAAAAAGAAAGACATTGTGAAATACAATGAAACCCAATGACAGGCACGCCTCATACACCAATTGGACCACTGTCCATTCCTGCTTGTGCAGGAGTTTCAAGCATAATGGCCATAGGACGTTTTGGATGATCGTCTGAATTCTTTTGGGTCAAACTTTACCATTAAACCGCCAGGAAATCAACATCAAAACCGACAAGATTGTTGCAGCCATCCCCGCTATGTCCGTGAAAGGCCGTGAACAAGTACTTTAAGCCTGAAAATCCGCCTTGATGGAACAATGATTCTCAAAACCTACCGAGATAGAGAATCCTCTGATTTTAAACAGGATTCATCAATTTTCTTCTAGTCAGGCGAGGTGATTGCCACCTGACCTGATTTTTTCCGGTTTGACCTCATCATTGAACGGCTCTGCGTCCTGGATTGATGGGCAAGCAGCATGTGCTTCTTACACTGAGCTTTGATGCGTTTGGCTTGTTTTACTCTCTCTAGTAAGTAATCATAGGGTCTTCTCTCCGTCGAGATGAGCTGATCGCTATTAGCATAATGGGAGGCGTGATTATTCATCATGCAGGCAGGCGGGCGCAGAACTAATGCCAGGACCCCTGGGTTCAACGCTGGATAGAGTATATTATCCTGATAGCTCGGCCCTCTGGCGGTAAAGAGCAGAGTGAAAATCCTATCCACATTGTCCATTATTGCACACATGACCTTTAAAGTGCTTCTTTTACACATTTCTCCATGCACACATTTCTCATTGGAGCAGTTTTTATCACCTTTTTTTCTTTTTGCAGGGTAAGGTGATTGGGATTAATCAGGTGTTGTGTTAATATTGGCAAAACCTTTGGCCTCAGTGCCACCACCTGCTTTTAGCGTGGTGCGTTTGGAATCAGAGGTTCTGGCGGTTTATGTGATTCCTTCAATTCATGCTGCAAATAATTACCAATCGTCTGCACTCATGAATAAAATTAAGTCTGAGGCGGAATGAATCAGAATCACTAATTGGCAAAAATGGATCTTTGACCCGTGTTTTTAATTACACTTGGCAATAATGCTACTGCAACATTTACACCACACACTGTACATCATCTTTTATAGAGTTTGGGCCACAAGGCAAACGAAACAATGTGATGCAGAAAAAGACGACGGTCAACAAGTTATGTTTCCTTTCAAGTATACCTGTATCCAGCTATTTGGAATATCGAATAGATGGTTCTTTCATAAACATCGTGATTGATAAAAAACAATACTTACCATTTGTGATTTAGTGTACAAGACTTTTAACTGCTTGAATTCAATTTACAGACTTAATTGAACTAAATGAAATCAAAAGGACATTATCTAGATTTAACGACATTACTGTGAAAACATTAATAATTGTAATAGCTTTATAATTGACAGCTTTTATTGCACATATTCCACTTACACGCTAGTCACACCGCCAAAGAGGAGCTGGGGGATAACAGGAGGGGAGGGGGGCTGATGCATGTGCATAAAGTACATTCAAAAGAAACATATTTTTAATTAAGAAGAGTAGATTTTCTGGTTGAAGTATAGAACCTCTGAAAAAGTCACATATTCAAACCTGGCACATACACAAAACGGTGTGTCGAAAGCACTTTGAAATCATGTATATGCTACACCACGTTGCTTACCTTTTATCTAGACAAAAAGTCGTTCCTTTACGATGCAAAATATATCGTATAACATATTGTAAATATCCATAGAAACATATTTTTTCCAGTCAACTGGCAAAACTGACCGCAGTCGTACAAATACTTTTCAGTCAAACGTGGGCTGCACGTCTCTACTACATTCAGTTTCAAACTCACGCCTAAAAGGAGAAGTTGCGCGACGTTCTAGGATTTTCTTACCCGAAAGAAATCCCACGGAGGGACAAAGCCAATGATCTATGGCTCCTACTAACAAGTGTGTCGTCATATGAACTCTCGAGCCCCCCTTTCCCTGGATGTGGGAGAACGCCGCTTTAGGGAGTTAGATTCTAATAAATCAGTTCAACGGACGCTATTGAGTCCACCTGGCATTCAAATGTCCTCATCTGTCAAATTGAAAAACATCACTTCATTATCATGAACCAGTGCACTTAAATTCCCTGTCGAACAAACACAACCCTACTGCTGAAACCTGTTTTTTTTTCAAAAAGGAATGTAAATGTCCATGACCCATTGTATAAGATCAATCAAAGAGCACCTCTGGGGTGTCTGCTGGAGTCATTTAGATGCATACCAAATGGTATAAGAGCCATTTTTAACTGGGAAAATGCAACAACAAGATGACTAAATCTGAAAACAAAAGGGTGTATAAATATCGAGAGATGGTGTTGCTGTTCTCACTTGTTGACAATAACAACAAACACAGAACACCACCCTTTTATATCATGGTGTAAGCGTGATGTGCCTTTGGCTCCTGTGTCTGGATCGGAGAGAATTAGGCAAAGTGCATCAATATTGACGCTGCAAAGTGGTCCAACGCGGTCCGTGCGGCACGTGCCAATAATGTGCAGTCTCTCAAGAGTGCGTCGTCCAGAAGCAGGACCTTGTCTCTCCTTCTCTTCACACCTTCGTCCACCGCGGCGCTCGCCGACCGTCGGCCGTCCCTGAAGAACTGCCGCGTGTCGTACGGAGAAAGAGGGAGCCTGCGTCCACGTGTGGTCTTTCACCTGCAGATTGATCTTGAACCTGTGACTTATTCGGTGAAATGGATTTTGTCTGGGCCGCCGCGTGTCTGCGTGGGCCCCTGCCTCGTCTCCTCCTACCGCCCACCTTCTTTTCCGAGAGGCCACCTTTTTATTTTGGGCCGGTAGCAATTGGATCCACCGTGTCCGCGCGTCCGCCCACTAGCTGATCCTCTGGAGGCAGTAGTCGTTGTCCGTGTCCAAGGAGCTGTTGTGTCCGGACGAGGGGTACAGGTCACGGCGGAGCAGCCTGTTGACGACGGTAACCAGGACCTTCTTGTACTGCTGACGTAGGAGGGAGTAGGCGAAGGGGTCGGACGCGGCCTTGCTGTACGTCAGGCACTTACTGATGATTCCCCAGTGGCGGTTGATGTCCACGAAGGGGATGAGCTCGGCCAACCTGGCAGGGCGGCGGCGGAAACATGACAACGCACATCTTAGTGAGGGGGCTGCTTTTTCTCACACTTTTTAAATGCGTTTAAGGGAATTAGGACTTTAACATAAGGGACTCTACGTCGTGTAGAAGGAAGGATAGTCTGACAAATCTTCAAAGAGCATAATATGATGTTAAAGTTATTTTTGGCCTTCTTTTGATTTTTTTGTCAAGGGGTTTCAAAAGGGTTTCATAGAGTGAAATACGACACACTGTAATGTGTGGAACGCTTAAAACGTGTCAATAATGAAGGCAAAGCTCAAATGCCATTTAAAATATATGTCAATGAGCACAATTTTAATGTAAAATGTTTTTTAGTTATTTAATTGTTTGATTTTCTTTTGAGGCATTTTTAACCAAAGTGAATATAAACAGTGCTTCATGATCTGCTAACAATAGGAAAACAAAAATACAATGAAAGCATAAAGTTACTAGAGAAAGGGAGGCATATTACACTTTTACCATCACTAACCGATCATCTAAAAGCAGAAGGGAGGCATGAGAGATGTTGCTCAGAGGTTATACAGACGCTTTTTCCTTGTTGGTGTCTTTCCTCTTTCCACCCAAATGTCAATATTTCTCTTCTTGTATTTATGGTCCTACATGTTTTTACATGATGACGCAGGCCACCAATCGGCCTCCCTCCTGCAGAGACTACACAGTCTATAGTTGCACGCGAGTTTTGCAGAGAATTATCAGTTCGACTTACCTTGTAATTACATAAGGAGCGTAGCAGATGATGAATGAGCCGATGAAGATGCTGATCTTCTTCGTGGCTCTCTGCTTTCTCCTTTTTTGCTCCGCTAAACATCTTTGTTTGACGCTGAAAACAGCAAAACACTATTAGACTGTGAATTATACATTTGGTGCAAAGTGAAGAAAAAAAGTACATTTTAAAAAAAAGCATGCGTGTTAATAAAAAAGCCAGGGCTCCGTGGAACTACCTCGGGTGGATGTCGACCAGCAGGAAAAGAGTCTGCATGGTGATAATGTCAATCCTCTTGCAGTGGAACCGGGCGACTTTCAACACCTTCAAGTAGGTGAAGCACAAAATGAGCAACGACAGGGCGAAACTGGTGGCGTGGAAAACGACGGTGAAGATCGCGAACTTAATCCGGTCGCCGCCTTCTTCGCGCGGCTGCAAGGTGCACGACGCGTACGCGTGGTTGTAGTTGACCCAGGAGAAGAGCAGCGCCGTCAGGGAGAAGGTGAAGGAGTGCAGCCAGGAGTAGCACACCATGATCAGCGCGTCCTTGTAGCGCATCTTAGAGGAGTAACTGAGCGGGAACACCACCGCGATCCACCGGTCGATGCTCAGAGCCGCCATGCTCAGCATGGTGTTCGCGGTCAAGAAGGTCTCCAGGAAGCTCACCGTGTGGCAAACGCAATCCGCGAACGGCTGCTGGTCCCTGATGATCCCCACCACGGTGGCCGGCATGTTGAGGACGGTGATGAGGATGTTGCAGAAGGACAGGTTCATGGTGAACACGCCGGGCACCTGTCGGCGTATCTCGGTGCTGTGGACGAAGCATAGCAGCACCAACAAGTTGGACGACAGCGAGACGAGCGCGACCGCGATGATGAACAACGCGAAAAGGGTCTCAGCAAAGTCCATGTCTCCCTGCGGAGAGTCCGCCCGCGGGGGTTACCCGCTCCCTGTCGTGGGTGACGCGCGCGTCGGATCAACCATGGTCACACCAGGCGCACATCCCTCCGTCGAATGCTCCTCGTCCTTAAACCCGCCGGCGTCCCACTCCAACTTCCAGGAGCGCTGTCCAGCGTGCTGAACCCAGCTGCCGCCACCATGCCTCTCCCCGCGCGCGTCGGGGAGTTTCCATTAACGCCCGACCGGTGGAGGCGGGGAGCTTGGCGGAGTGACGCTCATCGGAGGGATGCGGCGGTGGGACTGGGGGGGGGACCTGCATGCCTCCCGAAATGACTGATTCCCTTTCTTTTTTTTCACTCAATCACGTGGAGATCCGGAGACGTGGGAAGAGCGCGTCCTTGTCACAGAACACCCGAACGCGCAGCGTCTTCCTTTGGAGAACTTCTGTGTTCAGTGTGGAAACCCAGTTGTCTTATTTTCTATACTTCACCTGCCGACCAAACCCCCCTTAAGCAAGCAACTCATCAATCAACATCACACCCAATTCTTTTGTCAAAGGCAAATGAGAAACTGTGAGAACAGAAAGTGTTTCACATCTCGCATCTTCTGAAATAGTACCTCCGGCAGGCAGTTCATCCGGTTGTTTGGTGGGAAATCCTATTGAGATATCGAACAATCGTCATTTCGGACATTCTAACAATTGGTTGGAAAAGAGTGCAAAATAGATTTGAGTTCAACGCTGAGCATTAAAAGTCAAAAAGGTGTAACGTGCAACAGAAGTGTTTGTGAGTCATTCCCGGTTCTGGAGAAGCCCGTGTAGACAGTGACTCACTGGGGTCAGACGCTGCCTGCAGGGGTTGGCCATATCTTTTTCTCATTTTTATTGCCTTCCAACACCCACTTGTTATGAGGCCTGTGGCGTTGTACCAGAGTCCCTGTACCCCCCCCCCCAATTAAGTGCATTGTTTTATTGATATAAAAGAGTGCTCGCTTTACTCCGGGCTTACCTGCTCGTGAGTATGTAAATGATTAAATGAGTCAGAATTAAATATATTCAAGGGAAACCCTGAGGCAACAACCTTCCTTTCAGGATCATAATCAACCACGAGAGCCGGCGTGTCCCAGCCAGCGGGTGTTTTGGAGTCAGAAAGTTAGCGAGACAAAGCAGCAGTGGGTGATGTCAGCCCCTTACAAACGAGTGATCCAATGCTACAGCTGGGCTCCCAGGGGGGAAGTGCTAAGCTATTTATAGGCCTGATTGGGTGTCACCTCGAATATAACTCTCAGCGCCGGTGTATTACCTAACCGAGGTTTCCGAGCGAAGCACTAAAGTGCAGAAACGCAAATGAGATCGCTTTAAGAGGATGCTTTAATGTGAGTCGAGTAATCAGCCACTGCAGCATTGGGTTTTCCTTTGAAAGGCCTCGAGGATCTGTTGCAATTTAAAAAAGAGGGTGGGAAGCTAATCTCCAGCAAAATACCCCAAAATGCAACTGATTATGAGTCAGAAAGAGTAAAGAAGTACATCCTTTGGCGATAAGATGAGCTGGACATGCGCAATAAAGATGCAATTTGGAAGAAATGTGCTTTACACAACCATAAAATGCCCCACATGGCCAACAATTGACATTAGGGCAGCAATTCATGAGTATTACCAGCTGCGACAGCAACGCTGGTAATGTTTTCACGTGCTGAGTCTGTGTGTGTGTCTGTGTGTGTGTGTGTGTCATTGTGGTACATTGTGGTCCTTCGAGACACTGCTACTGTCAAACTAGCACAAAGTGGTTTGGGGTACTTTGCTAAGCGCTTGTATTGTTGTTCGTCTGTGGACCGATTCTGCGAACAGTCGAGCTTCGAGCGTTGAGCTCAAAATGACGGCAGCGTCTTTGAGATGGCTGAGGTCCGAGCAGTGGCGCTGGAAGTAAGAGGGCTGGAGGTGAATCTACATCTCTGGCCTAGTTTGTTGTCATCCCATTCGCAGGATAGTCTCGAACTTCGTTATTTGAAAAGGAAAAATAGAAGCAATCCAATCTTCTCTGCTTTCTATCGTACAGACATTTGTTTGGTTTGAGGCTTTTTGTTGGCCACAAAGGGCCATCTGAAGATGTCTTCTTGTGGACCTATTTGTTTCATTTGTAATGTTTTACAGTGAATGTCGTGTTCTTGCAGGGAGAGCAAGACTCGCACACGCTGTCCTTTGCTTTTCAACCACTGAGCCCCTTTTATACTAATTGTGTGTTATATTGGTTTGCGTCAACCTTTCCCCCCCGAAAATCCATTCATTTCAGTTTGATTGACTCAAAGTCATCAAATGAACCCATTTAAGTTAGCCATTTTTCAACTTTATTTAGCTCGACCTATTACGTATTTATCATTTTTGTTATCATTGGCTGCGGTAAAATTGGGCAACAAAGCATTTCATTTTGTTAAAGTGGAGGTAGAGGACGAGTGTGGACTGTAAAAAACAATTTTGTGGCCATTTTTGTGGCTGTCTTCAGTAGTAACGAGTGTGCTTGGTGGTAGCTGCCACAATAGACGTAAAGAATTGCCAAAATAACAAATGTATTGATCGATAAGGCCAGTTCATGGGTTTGCTGTACAATAATAAATATTTTTAAAAAGCTCAGATTGCACATCTGGCAACTATACAATGTTCTGGGACAACATAACTTTTCTGTAAATGAGTTTCATCTCTCTGTAAGTAGATTTTTTGATATTGAAATGAATTATCCATTAGCTGCCCAGGTAGCACATCAATTTAAAATCTCATCGTAATAAAACATGCAGAACCACTGTTATGTCTCTCTGCCCAGTTGCCTTCGGCTGTGCATACAAATAGCTCTGCAAACTTGTGTGCTCTTTATATTCATGGGGGAATATAGTTATATATCACCACACATCAGACGTTTACTTTTCAGAACAGATATCATTCGTGATATTGAGGCCACCTAAACAGTAGGTCTGTCTAGATTCTCACATAAATATCATTTGATATTTAATTCAGTTGATCTAATTATTTGGGACAGTTTCCATGAATCAAATATATTTCAGTTGACTTTGTGTCAGTTTAAAGATGGAGAAAATATAAGTGTTGAAACAGGGTCAAAAGTAATTTTAAAAACGGGCTGGACTCACACTCCAATGATCCAGTAAAAAAAGATCCGTATTTCAACTTATGCTTGTTGTTGCTGCTGCTGACTCGTCTTTTCTTTTTATTGCAGATACAGAACACATTTCCAAGTGCAGCGAGGATAAAAAAACAAAACAAGATGTGTGCCGGTTGTGAAGGACAGCTCAGGATTCTGTTTACAGGGTCGGTATTGGTGTGACAGATGGGCCTCCTCCTCACTTCTCAGTGTATGACAACATGCCTGAAGCACCACACAGAAACAAAACTGGCCTCACACGTTGGCCAGATGCTTTTTTTATGTGTATGTGTGTGTGTGTGTGTTTGTTTTATGTTGAACATTATGACTGTTGAAACAGATATGACATCACAACCTACTACAAGGGCCAGTTCTTATTGACAAATGTTGGCTGTACAAGCTCTGTTCATATTTCAAAACGCTAACTATTTTTTAGCTAATTAAGCGTGCATGAGTTCCGTATGGTGACAAGTACAGGTTGTTAGTTATTATAAGTTGCTATATATTTATTTAATCTATCTGTTTCTTTGTCAGGGAAAATGCAATAAAACAGTCTAACAGGCTACAATAACACTGTAGTATAGATTGTCACGCTTTTTAGCAGAATACATGTCCATGTAAATGCGTACATGTTGTCTTTGTGAGCGTGTCTCTGTGTTTTAACCACATGTGCGTACGTGCGTTCACACGTGCATGATCAGATGTAACCGGATACGAGGGCCTGTCTTATGTGTAACTCAAACATTGTTCAAAATCCTCTCAATCAAACGCTAATCAACTTAACTTACGCTTATCATGATGATACGTGAAGGTTGTGAGGGACCATATGTAGGAAAAAAAGGCATTTTAGAGGCTCGTTTAGTGCCATTGTATTGACTACCTGCTGCACATTGATGATCTGTAATATCATTATGGTGACATAAAACAATTTATGAGTTAAACATTCTAATGCATTAAAGCCTCCATCAAACCCAACTGCTCTCATGTGATTTCCATGCCATCGCAAAATCATGCAAATTGCACGGATGCGTACAGCACATACGTGTCGTTCCTCACACAACGATGGTCTGATGTGTGCGATTCAGACTGATTTCTGATTCAATCACAGCCTCGCTTGGTCGACTCCTAAAAAAGAAACAACTGGCAACAAGAACATCTTTTTGCACCTGCGACACACCTGATATGATGATGTTATTGAAAATTGAGGCCCAGCACTCCTGGTCGGCAAACAAAAGGAGCATGAAATAGCTTCCCCCAGTGCTGCGCAGCTGCCACAGGTAAAGCAGGCCGGACCTGCGATGAGTCACGTTCCCATAGCAACGCCTAAGTCTGGGAAAGTTATCGCACCATCTCTGGCAACACATGCTCTCCCCATGTGGATGTAAATATAGATTGTGAAGCTTCTATTATCTGCGAATTATAATCCTTTTTTGGAATCTGTGCAACTGAAGGAGTATTTTGACAGCCTTCAGCGGCGTGAGCGACGTTCGTGATACCGTCTGTTTGCAGCGCCGCTCGTTCTCTCCCAGTCCTCAGATGGCTTGTTTCATCGATGGTGCGGCCCTCCACAGGTGGCCAAAGCTCTGTCAACCCCCCCCCATGGCTTTGTTCACAATGAGCCCTCTTTTATGTGGAGACCTAAAGGGCTGGGCGAGGGAGAGGCGTGCGAGGTTGCTTTGACCCCGGCGAGGACGGACCCAAGTAAAGCCACATCTGAAAGGACTCCTTTAGTGTTTTATTAATAACCCGGTGGGCTATGCCCCGCCCATTTATTGATTTATTCATCAATCCGCTCACAAGTGCTTCCTCCGTGAAGCTTTGAAATGTATTACGCAAAGCTTCCTGGATGCCTTTGAGAAGGACATGAGGAGGAATCGTGCAGAAGTTGACTACTACCACTATTTGTAGTGGGTCTAAAGAGCTGGCTGAGATTTCGGGGGGCACAAACACATTGTTACTGCAGAGGGTCCGTGACCACACGTCTAAAACCGCCTCTCTTTTTTGTCGTCTGCTCCCGCCGCGCACGAGGGTGACTGCAACCTGAGCGGAACAGGTTGACAGTGAGCCACTGAGCACGTCGAGCAGACACACTGCATTCATTATCATTAGGCAACAGGAGCGCTTTGAAGCCAGCCGGGGCTCCAGCCGGCAGGCCGACCAGGCCAGCAGGCACGTGACGGCGCGCTCTGGCTCCAGCAGCAAAGTATGAAAAGAGCCCTCATTAAACATGCAGGCCCACCCGCGATGGACACATCACGTACAAAGCATTTTACAGGGACGGCACCGGGGTC